AAAAAAATCTATTTTCAGATAACATGATGATATACCTGGAAATCCCAAGAAAATCGACAGTAAAACAACAATAATATAATTTAGTAAGGTAACAGAATCAATAGTTTTCATGTTCAAACTGTAAACAATTAGAAGATAACAGAAAACTCCTAAACTGTCAATAAATGTGCAAATTTATATGTAAAAAGCTATAAAATTCTTGTTAAATACACAAAAATAGACATGAACAACAAAAATATGTATAATACTCTTGAGATTATCAATTCTACCAAAGTTTAGTTTACAATCTCAACAATAACAACAGGAAATACCAAAAAGTTCTTGGATCTAGATACAGTATGTTGATTTTAAAGTTTATATGTAAAAGCAAACAAATAAGACTAGCCATAAAACCACAGAAAAATAAGAGTAATTGGAATGAGGGTGGCTAACATTATCAGTCAGATCTTAAAATCCTACAAAATCTCTATACTGAAATGTACTGACACATAAATAGACCAATGTAACACACCATAGAGTCTAGAAATAGACCCATGTACATATCAAAATTAAGTATATCATAAAAATGGCATTTTAAAGATTGAGACAAAGAACTTTTTTTTTTTTTTTTTTTTTTTTTTGCCTCCTAAGGTATCTTGAGTGAGCTTCTCATTCTTGCAGCCACAAGTACTGCCCAAATTGAAAAGCCAGCTTCCTTACACTTAGGTAAGAAGATAAGCCCTTCACCCTGGGTTGTGTCAGTTTCTGCATGGTATTTTCTGTGAGCTGCTGCCCATTGCTTAGGCCTGCTCTTCCTTCCTATTCCCTGGCTTGACTATTTAAAGGTAGTTCATGAGCACATTTTAAATTATGATAAAAGCTGTTAAGTTAGGAGAATTGTTTAACATACCCATGCCCATTTTTAAAGAACAACTTCCAGGTAGAAAAGGCCTGTTGAAGCTCTCAAGAAAAGGAATAACTAGAGACACAGGCTTTAAAGCCTCCAAAATGCTGTAAGCTCACATATTCTTAACGCCTCATTCAAACTCTAGCTCCTTTAGTCTTGTGCTTTTTGCTACTAAAGAAGTTACATTCAAACACCTCCATGTTCCTTCTAAAAAGCTAAAGGCGTTAAAAAGAGTGTTGAGCTATTTTAGAAACCTATGAAGAGTTCTCACCTTGAATCCTATCTGCATTTCCATCCATGCACTTGCTTAAAGGACCCACCAAGAATTTCAGGCAAG